GATGGCCCCTCGGCCCACGCCGTTTCCCCCCAGCCCCCCAGCCAGGCCCCCCTGGATGGTCCCACAACTGCCGCCACGGCCCCCCAGGACAGGGGCGCTTTCCAGGCTGAGAACGAGCAGTTGTTTGCCGACGTGAGTTCCCCTCGCGTGCCAGCCTAGGCTCCTTGGTCCTCTCTATCCCCAGCCCAGGGTGGGTTGCACTGCACACTGCCCAGCGCACTGTGCTCAGTTCTCCAGGCTGCCCTGGGGGTGGAGGGGGGGCTCCCCTGTGACAGCGCGGGGAGGTGGAGCGGGGCCCAGACCCCAGCTGCTCACTGTCACCCCCTCTGGCTTCCCCCTGTGCCCCCAGGTTTTGGAGCATGTCTGGCTGACCCCTGACCCCTTCCCCACCTGCCTGCTTTCCTTCCCCTAGTCCGTGGAGCACTGATACTTGCTCCCTGCCTATCTCTTCCCTTTCTCACCCCTACCCTGACCTGACCCCATTCAATTCCTGGAGCACCGTGCCTGGCTGACCCCAGCCTCACCTGCCTCTTTTCTGTGCGTCTGTCACCAACAGTTCCTAGCCTGCTGTTCCCAGCTGACGGAGGAGCACCCCGAGGTGGTCCCCTACCTGACGGGTCGGCACCAGAAGGCCAGTCCCGCATTCCTGGGCTCAGCTGAATTCCGCAATGTGCTGAGCCGCTGCCTGACACGCGTGCAGGCCCGGCACCACAAGGTGTATGTCTACATTAATGAAGTATGCACTGTGCTCAAGGCCAACACCCAGCGCCGTAAGCTGGCCATCAGTGCTGTCCCCGCTCCTTGCCCACCCCCTGCCACGAATCAGGAGCAGAACAACATTGAGGAGCATGAGACAGTGGACACTGAGGCGGGCAGGAGCGAGTTGGCAGCCATGGAGGCAGAGGTTGGGGCAGGGCGGCATGGGACAGGCTCCAAGCGGCAGATCCGGTACCTGGAGAACCTGCTGCACATCTACATGGGGGAGATCCGCCGGCTACAGGAGCGGGAGCTGGACCTGACGGAGATGGACAGCGAGGACTCAACCTACCTGCAGGAGAGCCGGCTCAAGCGCCGCATGATGCGAATCTTTGAGCGCCTGTGCGAGCTGAAGCAGTGCAGCAGCCTGACCGGGCGCGTCATTGAGCAGCGCATCCCCTACCGTGGCACCCGCTACCCAGAGGTCAACCGCCGCATCGAGCGCTTCATCAACCGTCCTGACATCTTCCCTGACTACTCTGACATCCTCAAGGTCATTCAGAAGGCCAGTGCCCGCCATGGCCTAGCCCTGAAGAAGCGTCAAATAGAGAGCATGGCCCAGGATGCCTTTCGGGATGTCGGCAACCGGCTCCAGGAGCGCCGCCACCTCGACCTCATCTACAACTTTGGCAGCCATCTCACCGACCATTACCGCCCTGGTGAGTGCAGGGTGTGTGGGGCTGGCATGGCCCAAGTGGCCTCTGCCTACTGCTGCTCAAGGGAGAGCTGTGCCTCTCTCCTGCTAACACAGGGTGGTAGATGGAGGACCCCGCTGATGAGCACTGAGCCTCTTCTTTACATGCTGTGGGGTCTACTGGCTAATCTGGTTGCAGGGACGCTAGTGCCTTTCGAGCAGAAGGTTGGGCTGTGGATGCTTAGTTTATTTGTCCCTCTCCCTCATGTGGTTGTAGGCACAGATCCTGCGCTGACGGACCCAATGCTGGCCCGGCGTCTGCGGGAGAACCAGACCACAGCTCTGAATCGGCTGGAGAGCGTCATCTCGCACTACGCCCAGCTGCAGGATGAGAGCGAGGAGGAAGAAAGGATCCGTAGACGGGCAGGGCAGGTCCGGGGCACCCCTGGCCCTTGCCCCCCAGCACAGCCTGACCTGGGGGATGGGGACCCCAGTGCAGAGGTGAAAGCGGAGGGTTGGGCCACAGGAGAACCTGACGAGCACAGAGTGGCTGGAGCCTTGGGGGCCACCTTTCCCAAGTGGGGAGGAGCCTGGGAGTGAGGGTGTTTTGTGAGGTGGTAGGGTTCCTGCAAACACAGCAAGTGACCTGCCCTGTCTTGTCACCCACCCCAGGCCAGCAGGAGTCCAGTGGCTGGGAGCAGTATGGCATCGCGAGCAGAGGAGGTGGAGGAAGAAGAGGAGGAGGAGGAAGACTCTGAGAGAGAAGAGGCCTTGAGCACAGACGCAGAGGGGGAACCGCAGCAGAGCCTGGCTGGGGAGGCAGCGGAAGGGGTAGCAGATGCTCTAGCGAAGGGTACGTGACCCCTGAGAAAGGACTGGGGTCTGAGGGGTTCTGTTGCTGCTTTGGGAAGGATGGGGAGAGCCTGGGAGCCTAGACGAATGGGTCTTGTCCCTGCTCTGGGAAGGGAGTGGAGTCTGAGGAGTTCTGTCCCTGGATGCCTGGGATCTTGTTCCTGCTCTGGGAGGCACATGGGAAACCTGGAAGCCTGCAGGCCTCGGTTCTGATCTCTTTGGTGCCTCCCCCCAGAGGAGGCTGCAGTTGGCGATGCCACAGAGGATGACCAGTGCATGAAGCTGAGTGAAGAGCTGCTGCCATCCTTGTCAGGCATGGAAGATCGCACATTTCAGGAGATAGAACATGAAGGGGAGGAAGAGAAGCTTGCGGCCCCTACGACGAGCAAGGGACGCCTCCAGCCATGCAAGGACCCAGAGCCTGAGCCAGGTGGCACTGAGGAAGCAGAAGCAGAGGGCTCTAGCCCCAGCCCTGCGCACGAGATGTTTGTGCTGGAGATTGAAGCACTGCCCCTGGAGTCCAGCGAGACGCCACCCCCCTCTCCCCAAGGCACGGGGGGCTCTGAAGCCACCCCCAAGGCTGCCCCTCCCCCCCCTGCCCCCTCTGAGGCCACCGCCATGAGCCCTCCCTCCCCCGAGGCAGTCTCCTCTCGGACTGACCTGGGCATCTGCCCCGTGGAGCCAGCCACAGTGGCCAAGGAGCTGGAAGGGGCAGATCATGAGCTCCGGACTCAGCTGCCTGCTAAGAGGCAGCGGCCGCCCACCCCTGAGTGGCCCCGGGCCCCCTGGCCCCTGGAGAACGGGGCGCGAAGCCCCATCAGTTCCACCAGCTCCAATGGCAGCACTGGGCCCCCGGCCCACAAGCGGGGGCGCCACAAGCTGGCTCTCAACAGGAGGTGAGAGGGGCCGGGCGGGGTGGGGCTGGGGGCAGCCCCTGAACCTGCAGCAGCATGGAGCAGGGGGGAGGCTGGGGGGGTCAGGACAGGCCCCAAGATGGGTGGGGGAGTCCTGCAGCTTCCCCCCACCTGCCTGACTCCCTCTGTCCTGCACCTTCCCTGGCAGCAGCTGCATCGAGGTTCACAGTGTGGGCTCAGAGGAGGAAGATGAGGGCTCAGGGCTGTGCCCCACCCGCCAGAGCCCCCTGCCCGACTCCACGCGCTGCGACTCCCCCTTCCAGAGCCTAGTCAGCAGCTCCCAGAGCAGCCCGCAGCCATGGGGGCACCGGCAACTCCTGGCCAAGGCCTGCAAGGTGAGGGTTGGGGTAGGTGGGGGGATGGTGCAGGGCTACCCTTGATCCCTGGCCCTTGACCCTTGCCCTCTCCCCCACAGACCAGCGTGGCAACCCAGTGTGACCCGGAGGAGATCATCGTCCTGTCTGACTCAGACTAGACCCGGGACCGGGGGGAGGGGCAGGGGGCGGGGGACCACTGGCCCCTCCCCCATTGGTGTTTGTACAAAAAACAAAAATAAAAAGATTACAAAAAAAAGGCAACGTGCTGCGTCTTCATTGCGGGGGAGGGGCGGGGCGGTGATGCGTAGGGCTTGGCCCTTTAAGGGGTAGCAGC